CCAGGGCTCCCCTTCCCGGCCCTTGGTCCGACACTGCCAAGCTCTGAAGGGGACACGACCTCTTTCATCATTCCTTGGGTCTCCCAGAAGACCTGGTATTCCTGCCCAGAACGGTCCCAGAAACCAACTGAGGGGAGACAAGAAATAAGCTTAGCAAAGCAAATGTCACTAAACGACAGATGTAATTTCTACAGATAATTTTGAAAAATAAACCCAAAGAAGGAAACACCCCGTCAAAGATAATGTAACAGACTTTTGTGGCAGGCTGGGTCAGCTGGGACAGACCACTTTCCAAGTGCAAAGTAAGTCACAACCCGTTGGGTTTTTGTTTTTGTTTTTGTTTTTGTTTTTAGGCATCCAAAGATACCAAAGACCAAAAGGTTGTTACCAAGGTTTATGCAGATCTTACACTTTCTTGTGACAATCTCTCTGTTTAATCAGCTTGGAAATCAGGGAGCTTTGCCCCCAAATAACATCTTTCCCATTGCAGGGAACACCTGCGCCTTTTAAATTCAGCGGGGAGACCTCTCGAAGGGCACCAAGGCGTCTCCCCTTCTCAGTTACCTGCGCATTTCCAGGGCAACCGCAGACCAAGGGTATTTTCCCGGTTCGCGAAAGTCCCAGCGCGCAGGCGGCCCGCGGACTCCCCTCCCCCGCGTCCTGGCCGCGCTTTCTGCACCGCCGGGGAGGCGGAGGCCACCGGCCCGCGGGCGCCTCAGGTTTCCCGGCTCCCGCGGCGCGTCGGCCACGGCGAGCACTGATCAAGTGTTTCTTTCTTACAGCACTCCCCCAGCCGAGCGGGGAAACGCCGCCTCCCGGCCTCCATCCCTTCCCTCCCACAGCTTGCAAATGAAGCGCAGTGCTGGCGGCGGATCGCTGCACCCGGGGAGCGAGGCCGCGTCGTCTCGTGGGTTCCCTGTGCTTCGTCCCATCCCGCCCCGGTGTGACCTGCGGCTTCCCCTAGTGCCAGACCCTCCGCACTTCCTTACACTACCCTGCGGAATCCTGATTGTGGCAATAATAGTAATGCCGGCGCAAGGAGTGTGTGTTTTCCTGCTTTGCGGGTCACCAAAGCAAGAAACACCTTGGTTTCCTCCTGCTTTTCCTTCTCAAGTAGCTCTGAGCAGGAGCGAGGGAGGACGTTTGCAGAGATGTCATTTTTATTTTGCCAAGGATAATTGGCAAAATAATATCTCGGTAAGGTGTCCTTTGCTTCCCTTCCCTCCCTTCCCTCCCCTGTCTCCTCCCCCCTCCGCCCCCCCTCCACCCCCCCCCCCCAGTTTTAGAAGAAAGGTTCTCGGGTCCCGCCACGAACCTGCCATCTCCCCCTACCTCGAGACGCCCTTTAGGACCAGCCCAGATCCCACCGGGCAGGGCTCCGGGGCCGCACCGGTGATGCTCCAGGTCTCAGCCCGCCGACTCTCCTAGAAGACCGCCACCTGCCAGGCTGCACCTGACTGCCCGACCCCGGGGAGCCCCGAAGCGAGGCTCTGCTCTCTGGCTTGCAGCAAGGCCGCCCAAGGGAGTGCCAAGGCTGAGCCGCGCTCCCAGGGGAGGGTCCCGCGTCCCAGCTCTGTCGGGGCTGCCACGTGAGCCCGCGCCGCCGCCGGGAGCCCGACTGCAGGCGCGACAGGTGCAGCGGCCGCCGGGACGCCCACCTACCTTCACGAAGAGCTCGATCTCGGGGTCCCTGTCGTCCCCGTTAGCTGTGGCCGAGTCCGTCATGCCGTCGGCGCCCGGGGCCAGCGTCCCGGGCCGGGGGGGCGCCACCGCTGCGGCGCCGGGGCCAGCCGCGCTCTGCGCCCCTGCTCCGTGGGCTTGGTCCTCCTGGAGAGCCGCGCTGCTGCTGCTGCTGCTGCTGCTGCTGGTGATGATGATGATGATTATTTTCAAATCAGTTTCTCAAGCCGGGGACAGCGGTGTCTGAGCGATCCAGATGGGTGTCCGGAGAGATCCCATGCAACGGAGGGGAAGTCCGAGGGGACAGGGGCCGAGGGATGGCAGCCGGTCCCCGGAGCAACAAGTGCGGCTGCAGGGAGGTGTCACAGGATCCGCGCCTGTCAGCGATCCCCGCGTCGCCGCCAACGCGCCCAAAATAGCCGGAGGCCGCGGGGCGGGGTCAGGGCGGGGTGGGGAGGGAGGGGCACCCCGCGAGCGCGGCCTCTGCCCCGGCCCGCGCCCCCGCCCCCCCCCCCGCCGCCCCGCAGGACCCCGGGCGCCGCGGAGCCTGGCTGGCACCACCCCCCGGCCGGGGGACCTTCTGGGAAAGGTAAAGGGCGGGAGCAGGAGGCCAGGCGAGGTGGACGAGAGGGAGGAAAGATGGCTTAGGTCTTGGGTTTCGTTGGTGATGCCTTAGCTCCTCCGCGCCGCGCCGCTACCCCCGTTACCTAACCCCAGGGAAGCCCCTGCCTGCCCCCGCCGAGCTCAGAGTGGGGAGGAGCCGAGGGGAGGGGGCCCGGAAAGAAAGGACCCCGAGTACCAGCCCCCCTGGCGCTGGGCAAACGGAGGAGGGGATGGGCAGGGCCGGTGCGTGAGGTGCAGGGGTGAGCCAGCCTGGTCAGGTGCAGCCCGGGCCAAGGACCCGTGGCTCTCTCATCTGCGCTTGCTTTGTCTTCCCTTTCTTTCCCTTGTCTCTTCTTTCCTTTCCTATTCTTATTTCGATTCTGTGTTTTGTAGTCAAGTGTGATACGCATACGGAAAAATGCACATGTCATGGGCGTCCAGTGACCTGAAGCCATGCAGGGAGCACCAGATGAAGAAATAGAGTGTTCACTCCACTCCAGAAGCTTCTCCGGGTCTCACTTCCCTTCCTCCTCCTCCCCCCGTCTCCCTCTTCCACCAGAGTAACCATTATCCTGAGTTGTGACAACACAAGTTAGTTTTGCCAGGAATCTTAGAATAGAGGCGCTGTATACTCCTTGATGTCTGGCTTCTTTTGCTCACCATGACACTTGTGAGATTCATCCATTCTGTTGTGTGTAGTTGTAAATCATCCATTTTCGTGGCCCCGATTTATGTATCCACTTTTCAGTTGATGGACATTTGCATAGTTAACTACTGCCATGGATACTGCTGCTATGAGCATCCTATCAAATATCCTTTGGTGATACAGACACTTTTCTCTTGGGTATATACTTACAAGTGGAATTTATAAGTTATCGAGTGTGAGAATGTTCTTCTTGAATAAATATTGCCAGATGGTTTTCCAGAGTGGTTGTACCAATTTGCATTCCCATCTTTCATTTCTTTTAAAAATAGGTACAAAATCTTTTACATCTGAAATCTGGTCAGTTGTTTGTTTTCTCTGCCTTCTCTTTAGCTAATCCTGTTTGTGCTCTGGCTTGCCTTGCTCTCAAATATGTATGTATTTCCCAGCTTTGTAAGAAAAAAAAATTAGTCAATAAGAAAAATAGGTAACTACTTATTATGTACCAGACAAAAATGCTCAGCACTCTACCATCTTCACTTGTTGAGTCTTTACAAATAGTGTTATGAGGCCTGGGTGGCTCAGTGATTGAGCGTCTGCCTTCAGATCAGATCCTGATCCCAGGGTCCTAAGTTTGAGTCCTTCATCAGTCTCCCAGCAGGCAGTCTGCTTCTCCCTCTGCCTCTGTCTCTGCCTCTTTCTGTGTCTGTCATGAATAAATAAATAAAATCTTTTAAAAAATAGTGTTATTATCCCAGTGTAACAGAGGCTTAAAGTATTTAAGTAACTTGTCTCTAGTCACCCAGCTAGAAAGTGGTGGATTTAAACACAGAAAGATTGAGCCTGTGCTCTCAGCTCCTCTGCTAACTGCCTCTCCCTATCTTAGTACACACTGGGTAAGTCACTTTGAAGAAACAATGACACTGTCCTGGTCTGAACGGAGATTAAGATCCATTTCCAGATTATAGTCACATGGAAAGAAGATGAAGCCTGTCACATGAATTGGGCAGATGCAAGAGCTACATAAATCAGCCTGTAGACAGATTCTTCACCACAGTTGGAGTGGGTAGAGGGAAAGGCCTCGTAAAGCAGAAGGCACTTGGGCTGAACCTTCCTGAATAGGCGGGCATCTAACAGGTGGAGAAGATGGATGGCAAGGTATCCTAACTGCCCTTTATAGCAGGCTGTTTCTCCATAAAGTCCAAGTCCAAATGCTTTTCTCACTGAAGAAACAGTCATCAAACCCAACTTTGTAACCCTCACAGTACGCAACAGCTCAATCAAAGGGAGGTTTCATCCCTCTCCCCTCCTCCTTGGTTTCAGTCTTACATCACCAAAGCCTTTAGAGAAACAGTCACCTTCACAGCTGTACCTTCAGAGCCAGTGACTGCATCTCCGGGAAGGACAAGGGTACAGAGGGTGGCTGATACCTTTACTGAGTGCTCATCGCTTCCCCACTCTGGACTCTGGGCAGTATTTGCAATAGCAATGTGGCAGAGGTAAATAAAATTATATGCATAAAATGCCTCTGAGGGTTATTTATTTTTAGATGAAAGATGCTTTACATGTGTGATCATTTTCTTGGCTATGATCTAAACAATGTCTGGTATGACCTCCACTCTCCTTAATTCCAAACGTAGCAGAGTTGGCTTCTATTTCATCTTCTCCAAATATCTACTGCTTACTGGAAACAGACCAGTTGCCTTTTAATTTTTAGATAATATCTTCCATTTGGACATCCCTTCAGATGACCAGTAGTTTTGATATAATAAATGTTCATGTTGCAAAAAAAAAAGGCAGTTTCGACGATAAAATATTTTTGTGCATATTTCTAGTTTTCAATTCCACATTCTGCTTTAGTTCAGGATAAATAGTCTTCATTTTGTACCCTTTAATGTCACATCATAATTGGTTAGAGTCAACTATAGCATTGTCCAGAGAAAAACACCTCCTTGATCATACATAGACTGTACTATTTTTTTCATAGACTGTACTATTAATAATCATAGTTTCACAAAGTTGGTGCAAGTTTTGGATAAACATTTACCAGCAAAGGACTTCAAAAACCTATTTAGTGCTCACTTTGGCTGCACATATACTAAAATTAGAACAATACAGAGAATATTAGCATGGCCCCAGTGAAAGGATGACAAGCAAATCTGTGTAATATCCATACTTGTGTATGACTGTTCAAAGCAAAAATTATAAAATGTTTTATGGGGTTTTAAATATATTCGGATTCCATGATAAGACATAAAGGGTGGAGGTAAAGAGATTTACATAGTGGTAGGGTTTCTATACTTCACTTGAAGTGGCAAACTATGAACCATAAGCAGATTAAGGAAAGTTAGGTATGTGTGTTGTAACCACTCTGAAAGCAACAAGTAGAAAAGTTATAAAGGAGATACAAAAAAAAAAATCCAATAGATATATTAAAATGTAATGGGAAGAAATCTTCAAATAATCTAATAGATTTGACGGGGGAAAAAAGAGAGCAAACATAAAACTTACTATAAAATGGCATATTTTCCCCCTCTGCCCTTTTCCTTGCTCATGCTCTCTCTCTCTCTCTCTCAAAATAAGTAAGTAAATAAATAAATAAATAAATTCTTTTTTAAAAAAAGATATAACATACCTAATACCAGAGTCTCAAAATACATGAAGCAAAGCTGATAGAATTGAAAGTAGAAAGAGACAAATCACAGTTATAGTTGGAGACTATAAAACTTTTTTTATATATATATTTTTTTAATTTTTATTTATTTATGATAGTCACAGAGAGAGAGAGAGAGGCAGAGACACAGGCAGAGGGAGAAGCAGGCTCCATGCACCGGGAGCCCGATGTGGGATTCGATCCCGGGTCTCCAGGATCGCGCCCTGGGCCAAAGGCAGGCGCTAAACCGCTGCGCCACCCAGGGATCCCTAAAATTTTTTTTTTTTCAAAACTTTTCTCTTAGTAATTGATAGCACAAATAGACAACAACAACAACAACAAAATAAGTAAGAATAAAAAAGGCCTAAGTAATACTACCAACCAATTTGGCCTAATGAACTTTTGTAGACTATCCCATCTAAATAACAATGGAATACACATTATTCTCAAGCACATATGAAATAGTCACCGAAATAAATCAAATTCTGGGTCACAAAACAAGCGTTACATTTAAAAGAATGAAACAATACAAAATACATTCTCTGCCCATAATAGAATCTATTACATCAATAAAAAATGTTTCTGGAAAATCTCTATTTGGAAATTAAGCAATTCACTTTAAGAAATTTGTTGGTCAATAAAGAAGTCTCAAAGATCATTGGAAAATATTTTGACCTGAATGTAAAAGAGCATACAATGTATCAAAATTTACAGGATGTAGCTAAAGTAGCACCTAGAAAGAAATTTATGTTTGAAATGTTCTTTTTAGAAGGAAATCGTTGTCTCAAATGTAAGCTTGTACCTTAAGAAACCAGCAAAACCGAAAGCAGGAAGGAATAAAATAATAAATATAAGGAAAAAAAAAAACTAATGAAACTGAAACAAGATAAAACAGTGGAGAAAATCAATGAAACCAGAAGCTAATTCTTGTAAAAGACCAATAAAATTGATAAAAATTCTAGCTAGAGTTTTGAAGAGAAAAAGAGAGAAGTTATATATTATTTATCAGTTTCAGGTACAAAAGATGGGCTAGCACTACAAAATTCAGCCATAAAAGGATGATAAAGGAATAATATAGGCGACTCTCTGCATGCAAATTAAAGACTTGAAAGAAAAGAACCAAATCTTGAAAGGCAAACTAACAAAACTCATTCGAGAAGGAAGAGATAAAATGAACAGCCCCATGTACACTAAAGATATTGAATTCATAGTGGAATATCCTCCCTACCCAAAAATACCTCCAAGCCCAGAGATCCTCATTAATGAAGTCAACCAAATCTTTAAGAAAGAAATAATACCAATCTATACAATCTCGTTCAAAATTAAGTAGAGGAGGAAATCATGAACCTGCATCCAGAATTTGTAAAGGATTTTTACAGCTCAAAAATAAGAAAACAAATAACTCAATTAAAAATTAGCAAAAATCGGGGATCCCTGGGTGGCGCAGCAGTTTGGCGCCTGCCTTTGGCCCAGGGCGCGATCCTGGAGACCCGGGATCGAATCCCACATCGGGCTCCCAGTGCATGGAGCCTGCTTCTCCCTCTGCCTGTGTCTCTGCCTCTCTCTCTGTGTGTGTGACTATCATAAATAAATAAAAAAATTAAAAAAAATTAGCAAAAATCTGAACAGACATTTCATCAAAGGAGACATGGATGATCAGCATCATCACTGAGTAGAGAAATACAAATAAAATTATAACATAGTATACCTACTAGAATGGTGACAATAATACACGAATGATAACCCCATGTGGTAGCAAGGATGCAGAGTATCTGAAACTCCCATACGTTGTCAGTGAGGACGCAAAGCTGTACGGCCATTCTGACAAAACTGTTTGGTAATTCCATATAAAGTCACATATACGCTAACCATAAGACCCACGTGTCATCTCTCAGGTGACCAGCATCTCCCAGGTGTTCCCTAGGATAGAGCAATGAAAACAGGTTCTCACAAAAACCTGTACATGAATGTTCATAGCAGCATAATTCATAATTGACACAAACTGGAAACAACGTAAATGTCCCTCAATAGCTAAATAAATCAAGAATTGTAGTACATCCATACAATGATAGAGCACTTAGCAATAAAACAAAATGAATAAGAACAAAACATGGATGAATCTCAACTGCAGTATAAGAAGTGAAAGAAGCCAATCTCAGAAGATTACATACTGAATGATTCCATTTATATGACATTCTGGGAATGTCTACAAAATTATAGCAATGGACAGCACATTAGTGGCTGCAGGGTGTTGGGATTGGCAGGGGAATGAGACTACAAAGGAGTAGCATAGGGAATTATTTCAGGTGATCAAACTATTCTGTATCTTGTTTGTGGTGGGGGTTATAGATTAAAACATACAGGACTCTATACCCAAAATGAGAATTATCTGTATATAAATTTTTCAAAGGATCAAGACTCTTAAAAACTTCAAAAAAATGTGAAGCCATTAGATTTTATTTTTTTATCCCCTTTCCTCACATTCTTCTTTTCAAATCCTTGATATCAGATCTCATCTTACCATTGACTTCAGATATATAAAACGGACATTTTATGAGACCTAGTATTTCTAACTATAGTCAATCAATAATGTAGAACAAACCTTCATTGAAATAAAAAATAAAACAACAAAATAAGCATATGTAGACTGAGAGAGTGTGTGTGTGTATGTGATAAAAGGACATTTATTATGAAATAATGATGATCCTTTTAGGGAGATTTTTTTTTTTTTTTTTTTAGAAATGTTCACCTTGTCCAGTACCAGAGTATAGGCACATCATTAGATACAAGCTCCAACTTTTATGTACCTAATGATATTTAGTTGAACCCCTTCATTCTGCCCAGAGTAGCAGCTATTTCTAAGAGAATTAGATTGTCCCACTCTTACACTCTTTACAGAGGCTCTCACAAACAATCCCAAGGACTTGAGGTTCAAGCTGAAGGGACCAGCAGGATTTGATGACAGCTGCAGAAGTTACACAGTGTCTCTGTGGGAGGACCAGGTTGGGTGTAGACAAGGGGAGGAGAGTCCTAAAGCCATTATACCCACATGAAGTCACAGGTTGGGCTGTGAAGAGGATTAGGGTGGGTTGCTAGCTCTATCTATTCCTTTATAAACTATTGTGCCCTTGGGCATGCCTAACGTTACCATCAATCCTGGTCCCCACAGCAGTCTGCCTCCAGTCTCCCAGGGAGATGCCTGGGAGTGGGCTGGACTGAAGCCAAGCCCTGAGTCCTTGTCAACAACCATCGCTCACCCACTGATTCACTCATTGCTCATTCTTTCCACCAGTGTTTTGGAGGAGTGCTGCTTGTGTTCATTCTAGAACCCTCCAAGAACGTGCATGCATTGTGCATATCACTTCCTGCTGCTAAACAACCATAGATTGCGTTTTGTCTTTTCCATGTGAGTGAAAGCTCCTTGAGGACACGTATCCAATTCTGTCTCTTTCGCATGACCCTCAGAACATAAGGGTTCCCTGCTATAGATTTATAAACAACAACATCCACAAAACCACTTATAAACAAACTATTCATAATCCTAGTACAGTGTACATGTTCAAAAAATAATTGTTGGTGGGATGAATTAATGAATAACTGGCAGCTGTTTTATTCAGAGTCCTCCCTGACTAAGGATTCTGTCCTTATTTTACTCAAAGTTTGACATCATTGAAATGGACATTATAGTGTGGGGCTTTTATAAAGATTCTAATTTTGAAGTAAGACATGAGAAATATTTATGTAATAATAATCATAGTTAACATTTACTAACAGCCCACCATGTGCCGGAAGCTCTGAATCTCTCATAAGCTCACTTCATCTCTGTAATAACCCCATGAGACAGGTACCATCAGTCCCATTTCACTAATAAGGAAGCAAAGACTTAAAAATGTTAAGTAACTTGTCCAAGATCACACAGATAATTATAAACAACACAGCTGGTATTCTGACTCAGGTCTGTCCATTGTGAAAGCCTATCTTTTTAACCACCGTGCTTTCCAGTGTGTGAGAAGTAGGATGAGTTTGGAAGAGGCTGGGATGATGATAGAGACTTAAAAATTGTTTATTGGATTGGAATCAGTGAATGACTGGTCTTGGATAAGGCATGGGTGAATCTGGGAATTCTGGAATCCTCCTTTACTCTCCTTAATCTAAGAGACACCAGAGAAGAACTGAAAAAAGAAGTGGCACCAAAATGTGGCACACGAAAAATTTAAAAAATACCTAGCCTCTAGAGAAAGGGAAACCAATGGTAGACAAGCAACCAGAAAAAAGTGACCTGAGGTCATGTTCTGTTGCAGCACCATGAATTTTTGGCAGGATTTACTGCTCTGGTAATTGTCTCACTTAATGGCAAAGTTCATACTTTAGTCACAGCAAGATCACATTAAAATACAACTTTTACACAAATATATTTTTAAAAGTCTTGGACAGGATTCAAAATAAATACATGTATAACAAAATTCCCAAAAAGCTGTTGATCCATATTATTTTTATGCACACATCTAATTTTCTTTTAGCCAACAGG